CACACTGGAGTAGTGCATCAGCCAACGCGAACTCCAGTCATGGCCTGAGACATGTTTAAATGACGCGGGGGGAGATGTGATAGGCGGGGGGGGGGGACTCAATACCATAAAGCACCAGAAAGCAAGTCCTATGCGAAGGGACGAGGTGAGCAGCGAGACCGCGATCAAGTTCATTTCTGTTCAGAATTACACCTAAACCTGGGGCCAATCCGCCTGCCACGGGATTTGAACCAGCAACCAACCGATCACAGAGGCTTAAATCAGCACAGCAGCACATTACATGACTCCATCTGCCAATCAAAACGCCAGCCACTTCTGTAACACAAACTAAAGGCATTCCCTATGCTTTCTGAGGTCCATTCCGCAAGGCCCATAAACACACAGCAACAAAGTGGGGCCCCGACCCCCTTACCTTGCACAGTCTTGCCCAGGTAGTCGCCCCGACGCTCCTTGTTGATGACAGACTGGTAGATCTTGCCCGTTGTCAGGTTGTTGTCCTTGGTGAGCCGAATGTCGAGGAAACGCTCGTAGTTCCCCAGGTCGAGGTCCACCTCACCGCCGTCATCTAGGACAAACACCTCTCCTGCAGAAGGAAGCCAGCACAGAGAAGCTGCTCAGTAGAGATGGGGGTCCAGCATATCAGCTGCTTCTCGGGGACTCAGATCCCTATGAATTTCCAGCAGCCTTCTAGGTGATCTGTTTGACCCTGGTTCCGGACAAACACTATGTTCAATAACAGAGAAACACAGTGTTCCTGGCTGTCCGTGTACGTCAATCCTGACGGCAGACATCTACCATTTCATTGAACTAATCAGAGCTGTTATCCACAGCAGAAGTACAATCACTTCTTGTGAAAAAGCTGAATGACTTTTCTATTCATCCATACTGAAGAGCACCCAGAGTCATGAAAATAATGTGCACATTTGCATAAATCCCCATCTTATCATTCAGCTGGAATTCAGCACGTGTCAATGAAAATGGGTGCTATTTGCGAGCACTACTCAGAGCAAAGCCTGTTCAGTCAAGATTACGCCGGCTTGTACAGCATTAGCGTTCATCACCAGTTTATGGTAAAACATGCTCACCCATGCTCTCAGAAACAGTTCATTAAGATTCTGGAATGTAAAAAACAACCGGCCACCTAGCAGAAGCCTTGTTTGAAATGTAAACAGCACTTTGGACCACCAACATCTTCTGGTTTGCACAACTCCAGACTTCACCAGAATACGAAAAAAACAGCACACATCACATACAGCCTGAGAATTAAAATGTCAAGAGACGACAGCCCCCGCCTCCCAATAAGAGCTCCCATCTGATCCTACACTTACCATGTTCATAAGGTGAGAAGGTGCCAGCATCAATGTTGATGTAGGGGTCTATTTTGATGGCAGTGACATGCAGACCACAGGACTTAAGAATGGTGCCCACACTGCTAGCGATGATTCCCTTGCCAATGCCAGAGATGACCCCACCGGTTACCAGTATGTACTTCATCGTGTCGTACTGGTTGTCAGCTGAAATTCTTTAAGTTAGACAAAGAAGAACATGATACTTTGAGACAATTGTTTTCACCTCATGTTTGAAACCGGCAAAATACATATGAACGCTATCATTTTCTTATTATAAATAAATATTGCATAAAAATACGCAGTACAAATAACCAGAGTTTGGTTATCATCAATTTACTAATAAAAAAAAATTATAAAAACGAGATCCAATGTTACCGCTGCATAGATCTAGCTGAAAAGTGTAGTATTTGCGGGAACCAACGTAAAACAATTTCCCTATTGTTAAGAACTATGAGCACGAGACGCGGAGCTGATGGAGCGTTAAGAACATGAGAGCACATTTTAGGGGTCTTACGCAATGGAAATGCGACTCAGGTATTTAGCATCTCATTGGGTGAATCGAGAATTGGGGCCGGGCTTATGCCACATGACCAATGACACGCTAAGCAGAGAGTTACCAGTATTTCAATTTTTAACGAGTTCCATACACTTTCGCGATTTATACAATCGACATATTCCGAAAATGCACATACTGGCATATCAATGAACATCAAATTATGTAATAATAAGCATTATCTAACTACATACGACTAAAGACAGCTCGCGAAACTGTAATGTTAATGGCGGGAACAGACTTCAACAATAGCGCCAAAACTCATAAACAATTTACATCGCGTTTATTACCACGCTGCCGTAATACACACCATTTAAATTTGTAGAACGGCATCGCGAAACGAAGAACTATGCAGCTTAGAATCTGCAAACGCAATACGTGAAACCTGGCTCGCTGGTTATCAATGCGTAGTCAATGCTTCTGACTATGACTGATCGGAGAATTATCTACCCACAGAGCTGCATCGCCAGACCCACAGAATATCTAAAGATTATCACGAAGTAAATAAATGCTTAAGCGTTACAATGACGCACGTTTTTTAAACAGCTAGCACTAATTAAATACGTACGCCAAAGATTGAGGGCTTATTTTACCTACCGCTTCAGCAACGGACGGTTTCCCGAACACCTGTCTCACAGGAAGGAATATAAATGACGATTTTTTAATTAGTATTTTAAAACCCGTGAACAAATATTGTACGGGCCGCACCGGCATACACTGCTACAGTCAATGTGCTCACCCCATGTGCAAGACAATCTGATGGCGCCGTGACGTATCCCTGCGTCACTACGCACTGTCCGTACGATACACCTATAATTAACCCGTGCTCTTGTGTACTGGCCTAGTTATAGTTTAACATCTTTAAAATGTCACAGAGATGGAGCCGGGCCGTATAAGCGTTTGAAACTGCAATTTATTGTATGCTGGATTAAATTGTAGGAGCTTGCCTGTTTGAGTTACTTTTGTCTATATTGTGATTGGGTCTTAAATGGAAGATTTTGCCATTGAAGAGATTCATCTATTGATACAGCGTGATAGACTGATGGATAGATAGATCTTTTGTCAGTTTCGCATAGACTGGCAAAATAAATACAACTGTAAAATACATATTGGAATTATCAAATATTATTACAGTAATCTAAATATAACTTTAAACCTCCCCAAATAGTTCTGAACATATTGAAATTATAATTTGCACAATAACAGAAGTCATCTCTGTGTCTGCGCATTATTTGCCATGTGCATCTCTTAAACGTATTTAAAATATAATAATAAAAATGCATAGCATTAAATGTAATAAAAGATTATCTGTGTATTAAGGCATGACAAGGTTTTTCAAGAGAGCTCCATTATTTATAGAATAAAGATTAACTGACATGAAACAAATATAGCAGTAATATCAATCCATTTTCCAATTTTGCTAGTAATTTTTAATGAAAATAAAACTGATAAGATAATTATATACATTGTCATTATCATTGCAATTTAAATACGCATTTAAATACGTAAAAATTCTGGCATGTTTTCTTTTTTCTCTACCACAAGAGGGCATTTATATAATGTTCTGTCATATTTGAAGAGGATATGAATTTGTGTAACTGATGCGTCCGTCCACCAGGGGCCGCTAAAGGTCATCGCCTTAGAATTGAATCTGTCGCTTCTGACTTCTGCTTTCTGTTGGCATGAGTCAGTGGGTGCTTATTGCAGAATTTCTGGTAATTCCGACATGTGAGAGCATCACAAGATGGAACATTGTACCTTCCCTGGGATGCTCCAAATCGATCGTCTATCTGATATCCGTGATTAAAACATTGTTTAGAATGAAATGTCCAAACTGAATGACACCACAGAAAACAGGCTATCTGTATATACCCTGCAAGCATGGGTCAGGCACCTGAGTTGGCACGACTGGCATCTCCCTCCCTCCCTCCCTGCCGGCTCATTTCCAGTGTTGCTTATTTTTACTAGAGCCATTATCAGTGGCCTGGGACGAGGCCATCGGTGACGTGCGTGGTGTACGTGCAGAGTGTGAGGGGGAGACACACGCTTACACGCCCTGTAGGTGTAAACACTGCTGGCCAGAGCTGGGAGTGGGGGGGGCGGGGAGGGGGGCCTTGTTTTCCTTCCTCCCTAACGGCCGAAGAATGTTGCAACACACTGACTGGAAATCCTTTACCGTTATTTTGCTGCACGTTACACACCAACACGAGCCTGGCGTGTATTCCAGTTTACATGTACGTCTGCTGGGGAAGTGTCCCGCCACGTCTAACCCTGTGCATGTCCCCAGGGGCACAGACACGCTGGCAGGCCAGACTGGGGCACCGGACACCCGGTTTCAGCCTATCGGATTGAACTGGGATCAGGGAGTCAGGTGCACGGTCAGGGGTTGCGGTCCTAATGCCCACCCGGTTAGTCGGGAGGTGAATAGAACAGCTACGCTGATGCCTTGCATGTACACCATGCAGTGCGTGTGCTTCGGTGTCTCATGTCTTTTTCCATATTTCTAATTCCGTTTCTGAGTGTTCCTGCTTCTGTGACCCTGTCTCTTTTCACATGTTCCTTATTTTGTGCCTGTGTGTTTATGTTTGTATGTATGTGTAGGGGGGGGCATGTACAGATTACTCTGTGTGGACTAAATGTCCCCACAATGTGATAAAACCTGTTATTTTGACCTTGTTGGGGCGTGTTTCTGGTCCCCACGAAATAAAACTCAATTTTATAAAAATCTGTGAATGCAGTCAAAAAACTAAAAAAAGATTTGTGTTTTGGTTGGTTACTTATAGATGAAGTTTAAAGCTGGGGAAGGGGTTGATTTGTTGTAACATCTAAATGAATGGACAGTCCCCGCAAAGATATGAATATGAACATGTGTGTGTGTTTGTGTGCGTCTTTCCCTGTCTGTATCTCCACACGTGTGCATGTGCCGTAAGGAAACACAGTAGGTTTCCGGGCCCTGCTATGCAGCATGGCCCCTGGGATCGCTTAACCCAGAACAGGAGCCATTAGCCATGCCTGGACGTAACAGCAGCAGGGTTTTTAATTCAGCTCTGCTCATGGTCTTGATCTAATTAAAATCCCCCGTCATCGAAAGGCTGCCGCCCTTTTTTACGAGCAATTTGCTCTAATTACGTGCAAAGACAGAGAAGGTCCAAGGAGTCAAGCCGCAGTGCACCGCTTTATTTCCGCTGCTCCTTCGTTCCCCCCTGCCCCCCCCCCCCCTGGCATCTCCCACAGAAAAAACACACAAAGCAAAACAACAATTCGTCAGTAACGAGGTACTTGGAAAAGCAGAATTTCCTTACAGGAAGATATTAAAAAGACGAACTATTAAATTAGGACAGAGAGTTATTATATTATGTGAGTTATGTCTCTCTCACTCAGTTTTCCATCTAATGGCAGTTATGTCATCCAGAGCAAAGCCAGAAGCTAAGATTTTTAAATATTAGTCTTGTATCTTTTTTCTGTCTTACTGTGGCTTTGTGTGTGTATTAGTCTAGGTTAAGTGCTTTGTGTTACGACACAACAACAGAGCCAGGCAGCCCCTCTGATGAAATGACTAGATTTTAAGGAAGAAGCCCATGTACCACCACACTGAGATTTGGGGGGATCAATGGGGAAGGTCAAATGAATACACTTGTTCCTTGTTTTTGCTGTCTCTTGAACCAAGATCATCAACCACACACTCATTTCGTTTTGTGTACGGACCCGATCCTGGTGCCAGGCGGCGCAGGGCTGGGAACACGCTGGACAGGATGCTGTCCATCACAGGGCACATGCATGCCTGCAACCAAGACATCTGATTGGCTGGCCCCCCTCCTCTATCTGATTGGACCCACCTCCTCTACAATCTGATTGGTTATCTCTGTGAACCAATCATTTTTCTTTCTGCCCTCAGATCACATTTGTGTAAATGAAACTCCCACGAGCGCATAAACTTCACAGACACACGCAGACGTGTAGCCCTGGGATTAAACACTGCAAAAAATGGCCTTTCAAATTTAAGATAAACTGTTTCTGTTTTGAGATAGAATGGCTTAAAACCACCAAAATTATCTGCCAGTGCAGTGAGAAAATTGATTTCCTAAAATAAGACAATATGCCTAAATGCAAGCAAATTAATCTTATTCACAAGATGTGTTGTTAGTCAGTTTATGGATGATATTAATAGAATTTTGTCTAAATGTAAGAGATATGTGCCATCTCACTCAGAGCAGCTCCTAAAATAAGAACAAGCATGGTTTGCAGAGACCTATATATATATATATATATATATATAATGCCAAACAGACAAGGCGCAAAGACACACATAGTGCAAACAAAATTAACACGGTGCAAACAGATTTAAAAGAAAAAAAAAAAGAAATAAAAGAAATATTTTCAAAAAATAGAATGTGATAAATATTTAAAGATAATAGTAATTATGTGCAAATATATTATGCGCAGTTAAAATAGAGTTAGAACATAATTGTCTTGCTTGGAAAACTGAAACTTATTGAAATCAGTGATATCAACAAGCATTGCACAATGACGACATGAGTATTTGCCATTGTGGGGGAAAAAAATTGGGTCTTGCAAACAGAACATGTTTGCCTAGAGAACACACTTGCCATATGGAATCGGGAGACATCCATTAGAAAACGGGGCTTGAAGGAGGGGGGTTTAAAAGGTCCAAGAGGCACATCCTCAATCCGTCACATTGCCAGGGATTACCTGGGAACCAAGTTAATGTGGCCTTACAGGGGCTCGGGCAGGGGAGAGAGGATTAAGGTCAACTGGCAGGAGCTAAGGGCACACACACACACACACACACACACACACACAGACCTGTACTCAGATCTTTGTGGGGACCGCCCATTCATTTCTATGGGCAAAACCCTAATCCCAACAATGACAACCTTCACCCCTACCCAGCCCTAACCTTAACTATAAGTAACCAAACAAAATACAATAC